GAAGAGGATGCATAAACGAAATAATACATTTTCGAATAGATCTCGACGAGACGGTTCCAACGCCGCCGTTTTCGGCGATGTGACTCTTCCTGTTGTTGAGAAATCGAGCTTTGAAAATCGGTCAAGGGGGTGTGTTATCTTGTGTCATATACGGTAGTTTGTTTGGCAGGTACACACGAGAGAACGGATCTTTCTTCCTGCATCGAGTGCCCGCATGAAAATCTTTTAGGCGAATCTTTTTTCAGTTTTCAAAACATGATTACTGTACTGCTGTACTCTTGTGTGTAGCCAACGCGGCCTCGTGGGTCTGCTGTTCTGTCATGTGTGTAATTCTCTCACTATCTCCATCCATGATTTGGGCAGGAATAATACACCCAAGAATCCGTCGGGAAGCCACACCTACATTCCTCTCTCTGGTGGCACACAACCCATCTATTGCATACGCATGCATATGCATGCATTTTTCTTTGATCGCGGAGTGAGCGTGGAGTGTGCCCCCTACTGATGTTACTTGTCTGCAAAAAAACAAACCTACTTATCCCATGACTGCTACTGCTGTATCACGCTCATGCGCCACAACCGGTGGCCGCTCTGGGCGCGCGACACGGGGTGCCGTGTTGAGACGCACGATGACCACAACACCACTAGTCATCGCTGACTGGTGGTGTAGTGCGGTCATCGTGCTTCTCAACAAAAAGTGATTGCCCGTGGCCGGTCTGGCTTTGCAGTCACGAACACGTCCCCCCAGGGTTGCCATCCCTGTGATCAGCGCTGTCTTGCCCGGAAATCGCTATTGGTACAAGAGGTCCATCGGCTTGTTTTTGCGAAGCCTATTTCCCCAGGATTTTTCTTCCTCATAGATTCGGGCGCAAAGAAATTTATGCTCAAGGGGAGACTCGAACCCCGGACATGAGCTTTTGTTGATGCATGCATTTTTCTTTGTTCGCGGAGCGAGCGTGGAGGGTACCCCCTACTGCTATTACTTTTCTGCAAAAACAAACCTACCTATCCCTTGACTGCTACTGCTGTATCACGCTCATGCGCCACAACCGGTGGCCGCTCTGGGCGCGCGACACGGGGTGCCCCGCACCTTGCGCACCTCGGACTCCCTCCGCGCGGAACGAGAGAGAGAGAGCTGCATTGGTTGTTGTTAAAAAAACAGCAGCACTCCCCCCCAAAACCGATTTGACATTTGTTTTTGTGCGCCCCAGCCGGTTGCGCCGCCACCTCCGCACGCGCACCGCGCCATGACCGCGGCCGCGCTGGGCGCGAGACGCGGCGGGCAGCACCTTTAGTTTCGTCGGTCTCCCTCGACGCTAAAGGAAAGCACTGGATTAGTAGCCGTGAGGTTGTGCTAGAAGAGACCACACAGCAACACAAGCAGCAGCACCACACAGCAGCAAGCAGCACCCCAAAACCGAGTTGACCTATTTACTGTGTTCCGCGGATGTTGCGCCTCTACCTCCTCACGCTCACTGCTCGGTCGCGGCCGCGCTGGGCACGAGACACAGCGCGCAGCATCTTGTGTCCCTTGGCCTCCCTCCTCGTGAAAAAGCCGGAGGCTGCAACAACCAACAGCGCGTTCTTGAAAAGGGACCACAACAACTACTACTACTACGGCCAACAAAGTTTTTTTGTATGCAGACAAGGGTGCCGGGACTATTTTCTGACGTATGTACCCTAAATTCATATGCATGGCGTCAGCGGAAAAACTACCTGTATTTCTACGGTTTCCCGAGCAGCATGCAGCGATCGCTATCTCCCGTGTGGGCATTATTCTCCCGCACTACTGGCAGCTTAATTGCCCATGAGACATCCATGGGGCACCCATGGGGCCGCCCATGGGTACTTCATGGGCGGCCAATGGGCTGCACATCCATGAGCTGCCTTCCCGCGAAGTGCCTACCGTGAGCACATAAGAACTCGCCACCGGCATCAACCTAGAACTTAGCTATCGGCACATCAACCTAGAACCTGGCCAGCGCCAACCTGGCACGCGTCGTGTGGGCTTGGCGTTGGGGTTCGGATAGCGTTCGGGTTATTAGCCGTTAAAATGAGACCACCCCCCCAGATGGTGGTCGAGGAGATCATGTTGTGTGGGGTCGAGAACCCTCACTCCGCGCAAAGGGGGATGATCGCACCACGTTGTGTTAAGTTGGTCGAGCATCCTCGAGGCAGTTACACAGTGCTTATAACTGTCTCTGGAAAGTGACAGCACCAGAAAATAATTTAAGTCATACGCAGCTGTCACCCGTACGCAAGGAAGGAAGCACAAGATGCCGAACACCCTTAGCAGGATGCAGCGCACCCTTCCGACTCGCCGAATACCTCACGGCGCTTCGCGCTCGGTGATGTGAGAGCCTGGTCCGGTGAGAACCCGACGTGCTCCGTCCCGGCTTGTAGGGATCAATGGTCTAACGACTACGGCACGCACGACTGTGAGTACCCCCCCCCCCCTCCCCTGTGGGTACACAACAGAACAGGCTAAAAAAGACAGCAGTTTTTGGTAAGCCGTGTTCGTGGTACCTGGTCTCTTTATGTTATGCTGGGAAGGTGTAGAAGGAACGTATTGGGATGAGGTGTTGATCCGGTGTGCCATTTGTGGCACCGTAAAGAAACATGTGATAGGATATATAGGTGTTTGGGACGTGATATTACGAAGTACAATGCATATCTACACGGTGCAACAAAAATTTTTACTCCCCCGCCGCTTCCGGGTGTCGGTCCCTCTCTTTGTAGAAAATATTTTACTTGAAATAGTTTTTTGCCATGTGCACGACCCAAACAAACAGTAGTTTCCGCTGCTGCTGTGTTCGGCTGCTGTGTTGCACCTGCATTGAGATTGTTCCGGAACCTGAAGAAGCAGCATCACTACCAGGCGGGTAACAAGCGCGTCACGGGTTCAACCAAAGAAAAGTCGTGCTGTCCATGCGTGCAGCCAAGGGCAACTACGGATGTGGAAGGTCGTGTGGTACAACCTGGTGTTTTGTCAGAACGGTTAGAAAGATCAAAGGGGGCACCGTAGGTAAGAGATAATGGATAGGTAGGTATGTATAACGAAAGGAAAAGAAAAAATAAAGAGATGCACCTTGCTCACAGCAGAAGAAACATCTGAACGAAAGAGCAAGACAACAAGCAAACAAGAGGAGGAGTAGAAGAGAGATAGAGGAGGAAGAAGAAGGAAGCGAGTGTACGGAAGGGAGGAGACAGACAGAGAAGAGAGCAAGAGCATCGTCGGTTCGTTTTTTTTTTAATTTTTTGAAGCCGAGGTAAGCGTGTCTCGGGCGGACGCTAGACATGGGTAGCGTGTTCTAGGCTGAAGCAGGGCATGGGAAGGCAAATGATGGTGTACAAGTAGGGTCAAGGTAAGCGTGTCTCTGGCTGCTGAGCAGCAGGGCACGGAAGGACCGGTTAAGCCGAGGCAAACATGTTGTTGGCGAGAGCGAGACATGGACAGACCAGAAGGTTGAGGAAGCATGTTCTACTCTTGAGCAGGGCATGGGAAGGCTGAATAATGCGAGGAGTGTGGTCAAGTAGCGTGTCTCTGCCCAAAGGGCAGGACATGGAACGATCGTTAACCCGACGTATAAGCGTGCTCGGGCGAAAGCGAAGGCTTGAGCAAAGCATGGAAAGGCATGGAGGTTTGTGTCCAAGCTGGGTGACCAGCGGAATGTGGTCAGCCTGGTTCTTATTAGTTAAGGAAGCGTGTGGATTCCTTAGTAGGCTTGAGGGCCGGGAGGGAGGGGGAGAGTTCCACCTCCAAGACCCGGCCTTTGCGGGGCGACACAACAATAAAAAAATGGCATTTTTCGGAAGTGAGAGACAAAAGCAGTTTTTCGCCATGTGCACGATCCAAATAAACAGTAGTTTCCGCTGCTGCTGTGTTCGGCTGCTGTGTTGCACCTGCATTGAGATTGTTCCGGAACCTGAAGAAGCAGCACCACTACCGGGCGGGCAACAAGTACGTCACGGGTTCGACCAAAGCAAAGTCGTGCTGTCCATGCGTGCAGCCAAGGGCAACTACGAATGGATAGGTTACACTTCACTTGTGCGTACCTACCTGTGGATGCGAATCCCACACGTGACCTACACTCTGCTTTGTCATAGCAAAAACTGCGCAAGAGACTAACGGAACATCAAGGGACACCCAGGCGAACAATTGCAGCGAATTCTGGTAAACAATCTGACTCCTGTTGCGGCGACAGCACGGGCATATGCAATAGTACGTCTCTCCCGTGCGTGATATACGACGAGCGTCCTCCCCTCTTTTGTCACACCTACAAGTTCTCCCGCAAGCAGCACCTTGTGGCTCCGCAACACGAGCAGATATAGCTGTCTCCCACCAGCTCAACCGCTTCCAAGTTCCGGTGATGCCGGAGCGGTTGAGAAAGAGGCCGCAACCTTGGTTGTTGCACCCTCTGCACGGTTTTCACTCTCTCTGCACGTATTATCACAGGGCTGCATGGATGGCGCGCATGGGGTGATTAGAGTATGAAGATTCAGAACCTCGTGAATCGAAATGTGAACCTACAAAGTCGAGCTATTTCCCCGCTTGCTTGGTCGCACGCCCGATGCTCCACCACTCACTCTTCGCTCAAGCTTTACTGGGCACTCTAGTGTCTGGTTTCTGCTGTTCTCGTGTGCTGCGAGTTTTGTGGCGCTGTGCAGTTCCCTAGGTGTGCTCTGTTTTCGTGTTGTGGCCTCGGCACGCTCATGTTCTCATCATAGCAGGTCGAGAAGCGGGGACACGGGGAGCGAGCGGGGTTACAGGGACAGCGGGAGAGCGGGGGAGAGGAACCTGCCGATTGAGCCCATCGGGTCCCCCCAAACACCGCCGTCATGGAAGGGAGTTCTATCTTGAGCATGATCTCAGGGTTCCTCCCGCCATCGTCCGATCCGCCACCCAGTGCTCCATCCTCGCCCCCGCGTCGCCCCTCTCCGACCATGAGCGGGAGGTCATCCACAGCAGCGGACGGCAGCGGCAGCAGTTGCCAGACACCGGCCGACGCTGCTGCCTCTCGCTCGGCGGTGCCGGGGCGGCGACTCGTGCACATGATCTGCTTTTCGAAGGACCGCGCTTTTCAGCTGGATCAGCTGCTGACGTCAGCCTCGCGTCACCTGTGTCTTGCGCAGGAAGGCGGGAGGCAGGGGGGAGGAGAGGGGGGAGACGACCTGGTGGTTCCACCCGTCCGACTTCGTGTCTCCGTGCTCTATCTCGCCACTGCTGGTGTTGCTGCTAGTGCTGCTGCAGCGGCGACGGTGGCGCCCGTGCCACGCGCAACGGCAGCGCCAGCAGCAGCGGCGGCGGCCGAATCTCCAGGAGAAGGAGGAGGAAGAACAAGAGGCTCATCCCCACCGCATGAAACGATGGAAGAGTCGTACGATCTGGTACGTCGGAGGCATCCAAACGTCCGGTTTCTCCGAGAACGACCAGGGGAGTTCTGCACCCAGCTTCGTTCGCTCGTCGGAGAGAAATGGGAGGAAAGAGCGAAAGAAGGAGAGGGTGGCCACGACGAGGAGGGTGGCGAGGCATTTGTGCTGTTTGCTGTGGATGACATGTTCTTCTACCGCGATTTCAGGTTGCCCGACGCTGTCCGACTGTTAGCAACAGGTGAGAGCTGGACTGCGTACATTTGTGTATGCATGCGTTGTTTCGCGTGGAGGACGATACCTCAGCGTCCATCGGAGCGGGAACCGCTATTCAGTGGGAAGGCATGCTTCTTCCGAGATGCGACTGTGCGACATGTGGACGACCGGACGAAGCCCTCCCGCAACGAACAAAACCGTGGCCTTATCGCCGTGATGCGAGAGACACTGCTGTTTACCTCTATACCAGTGAGAACTTAGCGCCGGATTGTAGAGCTACCGTACGCGATGAGGTTGCCGAGTTGCGACCACGTCTATCATCATCCGCAGCTATAATAACACGTTTCCCCGTCCTTTGCCCTTGGGGATGCATATACTTACTTGGCCGTCGCTCTTCGCGCCTTTTCTCTCTACCGTGCCGCCCGACTTGCCATCCCCCCCTCCCATGGCCTCTACGACGGCAGACCGGTCCGTGTTCTGTGTCCACCTCCGCCTTCACCCGGGCATCACTTGGTCGCACACCGCGGGATCACCGTGCAGCGTACCCCCTCTGTCGCCCACCCTCGGACACGTGGTCCAGTCGCAACAGGGCGTCGATCACGGTAGTGGCGGCGCCGAAGGCAGCGGCAGCGGCAGCGGCAGCAGCAGCAGCAGCAGCAGCAGCAGTCAAAGGGGTAAGGTTGGGGTTGGTGTCGGTGATCTGGGCGGAAGAGAAGAAGATCGCCCCGTGGGAGAGCCCATCGGGAAGGCGGGCGGCAGCGAGGCCTGGTCGCGTCGGCGGCGGCGGCGGCGGCACGCGCCTGTCGTCGCCGCGGCGGAGTTCGGGCTGCTAACCTTTACCCGGGCGCAAGGCACGGGCGAGTGGGACTACCCTTGGGATCTCACGGGGGGTCTTTATAGGTGAGAGCCATTTTTGTTTCAGCCCTCCCTCAGCGAGTGGAATCAATCGTCCCGGTGTAATTCCTGGTCTTGTTCTTCCGAGAGGCGAACGGGCTCGCGGTGTCATTGGTACCGGATGGTGTTTGCCGCGAGACGGACATACGTTAACGTTTACCTTGCTGGTGTACATGCATCCTTCTGTCCCCGCGGCTGCTCCTCGTCTTCTTCTCCTGCTCAGGCGCGACGACGCCGTTGCGGTGTTGGACGGGATAGTGAGCGCCTACGGCGCGGGGGCTGCGGCAAACCCAAACCTTTTGGAGCATCACGGGCACACGTTGCTGCTACAGCAGCAGCGGGGGCTTCCACAACGAAGTGAGGCCACCGAAGTCGCGACCGCAAGCGAAATTTCTACGAGCAGAAGCGATACCAACAACGCCGTCAGGGATCCAACAGCAACGCCTTCTTCTTCTTCTCGCCCTGTTCTGGCCCCGCTTGGCTGCGACAAATCAGAGGCAGTCGCTGGTGCACCCCCGTCCCGCGGGGACCCCGAGACTTCATCCCCTCCACCCGCTACGACAGAGTCTGGTTCTCGTCTCGCCGCCGTCGCTGCTGCTGCTTCCGCGGCCACTTCTGCCGCACCTGCCGCAGCAAGCACCGTGAGCGCCGCCCCGCGGTGCGGCTGCTCGGGGAGGGCGGTGGTCAGCTCGCTCGCCGTGAACCGAGTGCAATCCACGTACTCGACGCCCGTGTACGCTTCGCGGGAGGGCGGCGTGCTGGACCTCAACCGCAGGCTCTGGAGTAGTAGCGTCCGACGCCCGTTACCGTCGTCGTCAAGAATCACAAGATGTGACGCTGCTGACGTCGAGGCCGAGGACGGCCAAAGTACTGGCCCAGGAGCAGAAATGGCAGAAGTAGAACCGGCGAGAGGAGAGAGACAGGACCTTGAGAACGGCGACGGCAAGGCCGGGGATGCCGCTGCAGAAGCCGGAGGTCGATGTGAGAAGAGGGAACGAAGAAGCGGCCGGGGGGCAGGGTTTGACGGCCGAGCTTACCGCCGGCGCGTGTTCAACTCCGTCCACGTGGGCGAGCTTTGGTTCGAGGGCGGCGGCGACTCGGAGGAGGTCGAGGCCAACTGCGGTGGCGACGACGGGGGTGGGAGCGACGGCGACAAGAGCGGCGGCGGCGGCGGCGACGGCGGCGGCGGCTGCACCGGCCAACACCAGCGCAAGCGCGAAAACACGGTGACCGTCCTTCTTCCCGTCAAGAACGGCGGGGGCCGCCTCCTCGAAGCCGTCGAGAGCGTGGCCGCCTGCGCGCGCCGAATGCCTCGCGGCTGGTGCTCGGAGCTCCTGATCGTGGACGACGGGTCGGAGGACGGCGCGGTCGACCGGGTCGTGACGGCGGTGACAGCCGGGGCCGGTGCTCCTGCCGACGTTGCCGGATGCGGACGGCGGGAGCTGGACGGATCTCGACAGCACCCGGAGGGTGCAAGGAGGAGGGCTTGCGACAAAGAGAGGGGCGTGATAGATGGATGCGGGGGCGGGGAAGGCGAAAAAGAGTCGTCGGAAGCGGACGAGGGCGGGGTGGGGCACCCAGAAAGTGGTTCGAATGACTGTTGTGTTGACCGCGACGGTAGCAGCGGCGGTGGCGGCAGCGGTGTTTCGAACGATGCCAGAGCGGTGGTCCCTGGTGAAGGCGGGACCCCGGGCGTCACGGTGAAGGTTTTGCGGCACGATCGTACGGTTGGGCTGGCGGAGAGCCTGAACGAAGGGCTGAGGGAGGCGACGAGCGACCTGGTGGCCAGGATGGACGCGGACGACGTGTGCATGCCCGGTCGCTTGGAGCAGCAGGTACGTTCGCCTGCGCCACGTACGCCAGAGCTTCCTAGCCCTAGAACTCCAAGCCCCACAACCTCCATGCCGGCCCCATTGTGTTCATCGATGGCACGCCTACTCTCGAGTGCGTCCTTTGGCTGCATGAGCTTGTATTTTTCCTGCGGTGTGTTTTGCCTGTCTCCGTGCTTCGACTTCACATAGGTTGCCTTCATGGTCGAGAACCCGCACGTGTCGGTGTTGGGCTCCTCCGTCTCCATCTTCAGCGGCGATTCCGTCCGGGTAGGCGGCGAGCACAAGCGTCAACAGCAGCCGGGCACGGACGCCGCGTCGGTGCGGCGGCACCTCCCGGCAGCGGGCGTGCAGCGCATCGCGAGGCACCCCACCGACCGGGCCCTTCTAGCCTGGTCGTTGCTGTTCGGCTGCTGCGTGGCCCACCCCTCGGTGATGCTGCGGCGGGATCGCGTGATCGAGGCCGGGGGCTACGACCCAGCCACCGAGCCGGCGGAGGACTACGACCTGTGGTTGCGTATGGAGGCGTTGGCTCCTGGCTGCGTGGCGAACCTGGGCGAGGTGCGGGTGCTGTCTGCATGCATGAATTGAATTGCACCCGGATGTTTTTTTTTTTCCTCCTTGTGGTGACTTTTATTTCGCGTCCAGGGTGTTCTGTGATTCGATGCTGTTTGGTGAATTGCTCCTCTGGCAGCTGCAGGTGAAGGCCCAGGGCAAAATAGTGCTGTTTTTTTCGTCTGTTGTGCGTTTACGAGGGTCTCTCCATGTCCTCCTCAGTGTCTCGAAGTCGTGGAACTTGAAGCCCTTTTTTTTTTGTGGCCGCAGCGATAAAGACCGGTGCTGTCAACAAACGTCAAAGCAATCGATTTTTTTTGACTGCTGGTTTTTATCCAGCATCTCGCATCGAACTGGAGGACTCTGACGTATCCCTCTTGGTTATGCCTTGCGATTGGTCATTTTCGCTTTGAGGAGGAAGGGCGGCGTCGTTGTGTAGACTACCAAACTTGAGGCAACACACGTGTGACCATGGCTCCCATAGACCTGTTGCATCCAACGAAATGACAACTCTTCGGCCTACACGGCTCCCTCTGGCGGGGACAGCCTGGGAGCAGGGGGACCACTGAGGTTGTCGAAGTTACGTTACCGTGTGGAAAATTTCTGTCGACCGGCTGAAAAAAATGGCCCCATTGTCGTGCCCCGGGGTAGTTGCGAAAGGTGCACATTTTCACGGCAAGGCATGGGAGCCTAACACACCCTTGTAATTATGGTGGGGTTACAAGGCACATGGCTCATTTTGGGTCCAAGCTTCTTCGTGACGGTTGATCTCTCTTGTCCTCAAAGTTGTGACCAAAGCCCCTGGAGCGAGATCTGTGTGCCTTGAGGTCTTTCAGGGACATGGCGCTGGCGGAGACAGGGCAGAGAGTGTTCTGTGGATCCGCTTGACCCTTCCGAAATTGTCGCCAGTCCCGGTCTACAAAATGTCCCGAAATGAATTGTCCTTTCCTCAACAGACAACGATGTTGCGGGTCTACAGCAATTCCCTCTATGATTTCCTATTCCACCGGCTCTGCGTAATGCGCGACGAATCCAAGCTATCACCCCCCCCCGCCCCCCGCCCCTCCCGGAACCGGGTCCGTGTTTTGCGCCCTCTGCGCGCCTCCCGGCACGCTTCGCTCTGTTTTTATATCAAGTACTTCCTTGGGCTGCGGAAACACCAGGCGAACTTGTCGCGAAAAA